CTGTCTCTTATACACATCTAGATGTGTATAAGAGACAGGTCCTGACATCAGCAGGGCCCTTTTTTTTTTTTTTTTTTCATTCCTTGTTTTTTTATTCGCCCAAAAAACATCTTCAAAACAAAAAAAAAAACAACAAACTGAAGAACACAAATAATTTTAATTAAAAAAAGAAAAAAAAAAAAATTTTTTTTTTTTTTTTTTTTTTTCACTGGAAACAAAGCTCCAATCTATTCGTGGGGAGCAGCACGTGCTGGGAACCGGGCCCAGCGTCCCATATGGAAATTTACATAGAAATTTGGGCATTTGAGGTACCAGGGCCACCCGGCTTTGGCTAAAAAGAATTAGAGCTACTTGGCAATTACTACATCAGTCTTCAAGATTGAGCAAGAATCAGAACAAGACTCAACCCCCCCCATCAGTCCTCTTCACCACACTCCGGCAAGTCTTACTGCAGCAGAGCCACCATCTCTGCTGTTGCTATACCCTATTTCCGTCCTACGAGCTAGCCCCCTCACTAGTAGGACGCTTTGTATCCGACCATCTACTTCACCCACTCACCTCATTGAGAAAAAAACAGGACATATGCAAATCATCTGAAAACACTTGCTGTAATTCGAGAAGCATGAGGATAGATCAAGAATGCTCCAAACCCTGGAAATCACTAGCAAACTCTTCCAAAGCTCTCTAACACTGTCTTACTCCCTGCCGAGCTCTTCCAGGTCTCACACCCCCACATCTTGCTGAGTTACAGGGCAGCGCAACTCACCCCAGCTCCGACCAGCGTGGTCCCAGCAGCAATCATTGGTTGCCCCGTGGAATGCCCACCCCAAAGCACCCCCAGATCTCTCTACCAGGCCTCACGCCCCTGCATCCCTCCCCATGCTTTCTCCTTGATGGAAATTCTGACTTAAAAAGATGCTTTAGAAAGATGGGGCAGGCAAGGAGACGAAAAGAGGTTCCACTGGTGCCCCCCAGTGGCTCCTTTCGTTTTTTCCGCATGGCACCCAGGCAGGTAATGGGACGTTGGACCCGGTTTCCAGCTAGCATGGTCTCAATAGGACTCAATAGGGCTTAGGGGGAGGGAGGAACTAGTGTGTAGCTGTGTACCTGACGCCAGATTCAGGGTGAAGAGGTTCCCCCCTCCTTCCAGTATCCTGCTCAGTCAATCCCCTGGATCCCAGGGTAGTCAATGATGGTAGGAACATCCCCCAAACTTTTTTTGGGGGGGGACAGAAGCTCCAATCTATTCGTGGGGAGCATCACGTGCTGAGAACCAGGTTCAGCGTCCCTTTGAAATACAACCGAGAATATGTAACATGAAAAATTGAGATACCGGGGGCCACCTACCTATAATTCAACCCTCCCCTTTTTGCTTTACCAAAACATACAAAAATTAATTGTTTGGGAAGAAAATTATTTGAAAGGGTTGCTTGAAAAATCAATCAGAATTAAACTGTGATTGAAGATAAGATCTGATAGGAATTGATTATCCAAATTGGACTGACGAAATTTGCGAAAGATCGTATGAAATTTAGGATTAGATATCCATAAAGGATTTTCGAATCAGGATCCCAAACCGTGGTTTTAGAAACGTTAGCAAAGCTGTATGGCACGAAAAATTAAGGAAGGAAAATCGTAAAAACGAATCAACGATCAATAGGGAAAATTCACTCAAACAATAAACGAGAAATACTAAGCCACCGACAAATCGACAGAAAGGACAGTAAAATAGAAAAACGAATCGAGCATCAATTTAGAAAAGGAATCACTCAGACAGTAAAAAAAAGGATGTGTAAGAATCAGAAATGAGATTTTCAACAATCAGAATTACCAACTTACCCGAAATGATCCAACCATCTTACCCATATGATCAGCGAGAGGGTCTATCCAAAGAAGAGCCAAGCGTATACTAAAGATGCAAACAACAATACAAGCAAAAATTCGACGACAGCACCCTCGCACTCCAGATGCCCTCATGACAAAAACACAGCTGTCGCCGATACCGCTTCGCCCTTCTTTAAAAAACGGACTCGATGTCGCCTCCAATCCTCCTCCCACTCCACGTGAACTTGGATCAGTGGTGGTTTTAGCTCTGATTTTCGTTTCTCCAATTCTTCCTAAAGCTTTCTCAAATTTTCTCGGAATTTTTCAAAACTGAGGTGAGTGGGATAAGTAGATGGTGGGATGTCAAGCGTCCTATTAGTGAGGAGGGCTAGCTAGTAGGATGGAATTAGGGTACAGCAGCAGCGGAGATGGTGGCTCTGCTGCAGTAAGTCTTGCCGGAGGGAGGTAAAGAGGGTTGATGGCTCGTAGTTTGATGTTGTAATCTTCCTTAGTAGTTCTAATTTTCCTTAGCCATAGCCGGGTAATGGCCCCGGTATCTTAAAACTTCAAAAACTTTCAATTCTGTGTAATCTTCCATATGGGACGCTGGGCCCGGTTCCCAGCACGTGTTGCTCCCCACGAATAGATTGGAGCTTTGTTCCCAAAAAAAAAAAAAAAAAAAAAAAGAGAGAGATACCGGGGCCATTACCCGGCTTCGACTAAGAAAAATTTAAGTTACTTAACAAGTTACTACGTCAGACTTGAGAAGAGTTCGGAAAACCGACTCAACCCCCCCCATCACTCCGCTTTACCACACTCCGGCAAGACTTACTGCAGCAGAGCCACCATCTCTGCTACTGATGTGCCCTATTTCCGTCCTACGAGCTAGCCCCTTTACTAGTAGGACGCTTTTTATCCAACCATCTACTTGTCCCCCTCACCTCTTTGAGAGAAAAAGCAAGATATGTGCACGATTCAGGAAAAAACTCAGACACCCCCAGTCCATCCCCTATCCCCACTCCGGCAAGACTTACTACAGCAGAGGCACCATCTCCGCTGCTGCTGTACCCTATTCCCATCCTACCAGCTAGCTCCCTCACTAGTAGAACGCATAATATCCCACCATCTCCTCCACCCACTCACCCCAATCTCATGAAAATTTGAGATACTGTTCTCTGATGTACTCCGATTTCAATCTGTACAAGGGACGCTGGACCCGCTTTCCAGCAGGTGATGCTCTCCACCCCCCAGGTGCTAGCGGTGTCTACTCGTATCAGCACCACTAGCACTGGTGGGGGAGTGTGTTTAAAAAAAAAAGAAAAAAAAAAAAGAAAAAGCAGTCGATACGCAAAACGATCAACGACTGACCTTTGTCACGGACGGCCGCACGTGATGAAAAACCACAGAGCACAAGCGTAAATCGGACTGGCTCCAGGCCTTTTTTATTGTCATCGTAGCTGCTCCCCACGAATAGACTGGAGCATTTGTCCCAAAAAAAATAAAAAGAAAACGAAAAAAAAAAGGGCAAACCTCGTAGCAGCCAGCCAGAGTTCAAGCCTCCAACGAGGGAACATGCGGGGGTTGCTCCTGATCTACAGGTGGGTGATACCATCCATGATTCAGACGGGACCATCAGGGCCGAGATTCTTTGATGGGCTGTGCCTCCCCTCTGGTCCCCTCCCCCTACGAACATCAGCAGTGTCTGCTGCAATGCTGCTAAGGGGGGACCAACTGGTTGTCTCTCGGTGGGGGGCGCCAAGCATGCCCAGGAAGGTGCATGAGGCCAATGGGGACTGAACCCAACACCTCCTGAATGCCACTTGCGTGCCACCAGAATAAATGATGGTGGGATGACTGCTTTCCAAATAAGATTCCCACAGCTGAAGGCCACCCTGGAAATAACAACGGACCACACGCAAAGGGCACAGCAACTTGCTCTGTTTCAGGACATCTGGCTCGACCAGGGAAGACTGATAGGGGAACTGCAAGTCGACCACCACCTGCAATGGAAAACATTGTGGCGGGAGGAGCATCGGTGGCAACGACGGCCTCTGACCTCCTTCGCCACCCCGTTGCCAGGACGGCCGCTCACAGTGTGCCCTGATGTCGATCAATCTCCCTTGCCTGCAACCAATGACTCACAGCCCGTACGCGGCCCAACAGGCAGGTGAAACTGAACACAGACAATGGCCTCCCCTCACCTGACCCCCCCACCATCAGTGCTGGTGGTTTAAGAGATACTATAGCGCCCTGTAGTCGGTCGACCAATGAGGCCCGGTTGCCCCGGCTCGACCAGCGCTTGGGGAGAACAGCTCCCCGGCTGCTGGGCCTGCGCACGTGCCCTGTAGGTGCTTGTGGTGTCTTGCCACGTGACACCTATTGTTTGGAGACGTGGATGTCCCGCGACACGTGTACAGGGTAGCGCCAGCCATGGATTGATAAGTGGAACCATGTGAGTGGTGCAGTTAGTTGGGCGAGAGATGGATTCGGTGGGGGAGTTACAACATCGAGCGGACGAATGGATTATCACACTGAACGAGGGATGCAAGCAGCTGCGAACGATAATGGGGATGATTATGCTGCGGCAGGAGGGGGAGGAGATCGATGGGGGGGCGATCTCTATGGAGCAGTGGTTGGCGGACAGGATCCAGGAGATGCCAGACATCATGTGGGAGCTGGAGGAGGGGCCGGATCCCCAGCTTGAGGCCTACATCGACTGGAGAAGGGCGAATGATAGGATGGGTGTTTGTAAAGCCCTCTTTATAATGGGCCGCAATCTTGGAGGCTCGACAGAGAGCGTGAGAGATGGGCGACAAGGGCGACACGGATGACTGGGTGGAGGGCGGATTGGATGATGGTGAAGATAATAGCGGCGAAGATAATTGCGGCAACAACACCAACAACATCAAGAACAACAACAACAACAACAATATCAATAACTTCGGCATCAACGACACCAACAAGGACAACAACAATAACAACACCAACAACAACGATGGTGGCAGTGATGACCACGACAACGACGGGGCAAATAACAACAACAACAACAACAACACCGGCTGTGACGACCACGGCAGCGGCAGGGTGGAGAGCGATATCCGCGCATCTGAGTTTATCATCAGCGGGATGGGTGAGATGCTGCAAGCGGCCGTGGGGGGGACTGGGGTTGTCCTCGGCAGCAGCAGGGTTGAGAGCGGTGCATCTCTGATCATCATCAGCATGATGGGAGAGATTCCGCAAGAGGACGCGGTGGGGATTGGGGATGACCACAACAACAACAACGACGAAGGTAGCAACAACGATGACGGCGGCAGCGATTACCAAGGCAGCAGCGGGGCAGAGAGCATCAGCAGGAAGGGAGAGAGGTTGCATGCTGACGTGGTGGGGATGGGGGTTGACACGGATAAGAAGCTTACCATCTTCCCCCCCTTCCCCCCCTTTCAACCTCGTTGTCTGGTCGAGGATACGAGTAGGATAATCGATGCTGATTGGTGTTGCCCGGCCCTCAATATCAAGCAACAATGGGGTGCTGATTGCCCCATCGAAGGGAGGTGGGTTGCTTAGGGAGTAGTTTGCAGGTGGTCAATCCTTCCCTTGCGCAAGGAAGTAATCAATACCCCTGCTCTCCTTCGGACAATAGGTATAGGGACAATTTTACATGATTTTGCAAAATGGAAGCTGGAGTCGCAGTTCAGATCACACAGAGTACATCATTGATAGAGTCTTGTGTTTACGGTTGATTGCTAAAGATCACACATATCACCTTTTTGTTAGGGTTACGGGTGTTTTGCATAAGCTGGGGTTGACGTCCACAACATACATTTACATAATTGATAGTGATTAGTGCTTAAGTCTTGATTGATAAAGATCATACACATCACATCATCTTTAGAGTTTCGTGTTTAGATTTTGATAGATATTGAATATTGAATATATATACATTACAAACATCACACATATATCACATCCTCGTTAGGGTTTCGCTTCCGACATATATTGCTTAACGTGCTTACATAGGTAGAGAGAGCTGTTAACACAACTCTGCATAGGGACGCTGGACCCGGTTTCCAGCAGATACATTTACATCACTATACAGGGACGCTGGACCGATTTCCAGCAGATACATTCTCATCATTGTATAGGGACGCTGGACCCGATTTCCAGCAGGTGTAGCTCCCCACCAATAGATGGAGCCTTCTACGCCGGGTCCTACTTACCGGGGATGCTCTTATCACCTCGTTAAGTAGGTTTCCCGTATACGAAGTTTCAATAAATTTAAAAAAAAAAAAAAAAAAAAAAAACTATTTGTAGGTAATGAAGACTGGTCATGTGTCTAGAAACCCTGCCTCTACAACAACCTGGGCTTTATATATATATATATATATATATATATATATATATCGTCACAAATAGAACTGCCCGGTAAACCGTAGGCAGAGAGAGAGAAGAGGACAACAAACG